AAAAATAAAAAGATTAAAAACAAATATCTTTCTTGACAAAAATAATTACGTGTCAATATCGAATTGCATTTTTTTTTTTATCTTATTATTATATAAACTGATATTTTATTATAAATATTGGCTAAGTAATTATATATTTAAAATACTATTTTAAAATAATTGAAAAATACATACTTGATAAATACCAGACACACACATACATATATTCTTATTATTAATATTTTACTTATAATCTATTCATATTTTTATTTCAAATTTTAAAATGTTATCATTGAAATTACTGACTTCGTCGAGATAACGATTAAATTATAACACCCGACATTTTACTTCTTACCTTCTATTTCCGAAGAAAGAAACTACATTACTCATCCTCAGTTTCTTCTCTTACCTTTCTGATCCTTTTTCTCTCTCTCCTTCGTTCTTTTTCTCTTTCCATTTTCTATTTTTGTTACCCTAGTTCATATATGAAATTTGAGGTTAAAATCGATACGGCTTTCATAATTCTTGATTTACTTATTTATTGATTTGAAATCCATCGGTCGAGGAGGGATGAAAAGAAAGTAATTTCATTCGTTGATAATTCTAGAAGGTCAAAAAGTATACACATTGACCCCTCTTTTTTCGTTTTTTTTTTTTTTTATTACAAAATTTATCGTCGAGGAAGAAAACGTATTACTACTTTTCGAGCCTCTGTTGTAAATTTTTAAAGTGACCGTCATTCATTTTTAAATTATTTTCTCCTTCTGTACCTTTTTAAATAATAGTATTTTATTCATTGAAAAAATTCCAAGTAGATAATTTCAAATGATCAGATAAAGTTATGCAAAAAGGAACTAGTGATTCTTAACATAACAAAAAAATTAGTTTAAACACGGTACAGTATTCGTAATTTGATGATCCTTATTTTGTACCAAATTATTAATCTATGTAATTATTAAAACTAACGAATAATTTTTTCATTTTATATATAAATATCTACAAATATTTGCATGTATACGTTTTCATTGATTTTTGTATTTATTTAAACAATATATAAAAATACGAAGAAAATTAATATCGCGATATGTTATCGCTAGCGAATCTGAAAGCCAATTAATTAATCCAATATTCTGAATCTAGTCCCACTTAATTACCAAGTTTTACACCTTAACAAATAGGCACATATACATAGACGCACACTTTTAAGTAAATAAATTTTCCTTAGACTAAGAATCATCTTTCAAATTACGTTGAATATACAGCGACATTGAAAAACTATTTTGATCCTTTGGAAAGATAAAAATTTAATTACCGAATCATACAAAAAATATATTTTTTGAGCTTGTTTAAGAAAAAATAGGACTACTTTCTTATTAAACATTTTTTGTCTTTATTTTTTTTTTTTTTACCTCCCCGTTGAATTCTAATGAAAATTGATTATTCATTATCAACCCAACTTTCTACAAACAATTTCAAATAGTAACAAATTTGTCAAAAAGACAAATAAAAAACACTCGAACAATTTGTTTCATTTCGAAAATAACATAATTAAAAGAGATAGAGAGAAGAAAAAATGAAGGAAAGTTATAGACTCCTTTTCATTGAACAAAAATGGTAGTTGCCATTACAGAGTCTACGTACATACGTGTATATTCATTTCGAACGTCAGTAAATGTAAGCATACATGCAAACGTTATAAACGCTGATAACAAAGAACCGGATTATATGATGTCGAAATAGAATGGAGTATTATGGGTGAAATTAATTTTTTTACGTATACGAACACATGTTCGCTTATTGTTTTCGTTCCATCAAACGAAAGAATTAATCTTCCTAAGGGGAACGATATTATCCTTTTTTTCTTTTCTAGATCGTTTCCGTAGAAGTACTTACTTGCATATTTATTAAGAAGAAAAAAAAAAAGATTATTTTACGTTTATATAGAAACGTTCAAAAGAAAATTAATATTTCTTTAAATTTAAGGCACAAATAGATATATGTATACGCATAAAAGATAAGAAATATTTTCTTTTGTTTTAATTTTTTATTTTTATCATTTCCTTGCCGATATTGTGAAACTAAATGGAAAATAATTATCATAGTAAATCCGTGACATTTTCTAAATGTTTCAGGAATGGAATTACTGAAATCAGGCCTATTATTGAAACAACACATGTAGCTACGATTGCAATCAAACAGCTTCAATCCATACAGTAGTTCATTTCCATCCTTATATTTCTCAATTTGCAATATATATTGAACGATATTCTTCTCTTTCTCTTCATCATTCTTCCCTCTTTACCATCTTCCTCTCTGTCTATATTTTCTCTCCTTCTCTCTCGTTAAAACGTTTCATTATACATTCCCATTCAAAAGCCAATAACAATTTGCAATGATAACGTTGGAAAAACAATTTTTATATATATATTTTTTTTTATTTTAATACATTTTTCTTTTATTCAACGACATTTCTTTTTGAAGCAAACATTTTCATTTTTAAGAATACTATTAAGAATGGAAATGGAAATTAAAATAAATCGTAATTACGAACTTTTGAAAAAAAATGTACAGACACGACATATGCATGATCGTTCAATAATATGTCTACGAGATTTCATTTACCTAGCAAATAATAACGTATTTATGTGAGTACGTATTTACGTTTAATTTATACGAAAATTAAAAAAAAAATAAAATAAAATATGTCGGTTTTCCAATTGTTTCCCTTTTCCCAACTAATATTCCGGAATTTCGATATCTCGTTAAAATTAATCTGAATAACTGTGAGCCCTGCGTATTGAATTATCTTCACCTACTCGAAACTTAATTTTACAAAACTATGCTTTACAGCATGTAGCTTTAATACGTATACAATCAATTTGATACGATCGAATATTATTGTACAAGTAACATAAATTACATGCATGATATTCTCTCTATATATACATTAAATAATATCAACCCTATATTAAATGAAATATTGATATTGTTTATTTATATATTATTTTCTTCTATTCATTTTTCATCTCGTTAAATTTGTTATCATTCTCCTTTCAAATCGTACGCTTTATTATTACCAAGTAGCGTGAACTTTCATATTTCTGAATATTTCCCGCAAAAAGAGATGCGAAAAGCCGAGCGCATCCGAGCAAAGACGAAAAAAAACGATTGACGAACTTTAAAAATTTAACCCGAACATCAGGCGGTATTTTTAAATGCAATCGATTCAAATTCAATTAAAAAACGTTTAAATTTCTTCCTTTTCCTTCGCCCTTTGCATTTTACAAATCTAATCTTATTCCACGGAGATGTTAAAAAAGACAATAAAAGTTTATCGTTTGACACGTACCTTTGGGAAATCGATCGAATAAATAAAAACAGGAATAAAAGTTGCAAGATTGCAAGAAATCGTCATCTCTCTCTTTCCTCTTCTTTTCTTTCATCATCTTCTTTTTCTTTCGTTTCTTGATTTGATGTTTACATCCAACACATATTTGCCAACCCGGAAATATCTGTTTGTAGTTTCAGTTTTCATTCGTGAAAGGGTACAATTGTGAATTGTAATAACATCCGCCTACTTTATTTGGAATAAGAAATATTAAAACTATAAGATTTTCTTTTGTCCTTTACTTTTACATTACGTTTGATTTGTGATTTTAATATAATACTTATTCCATTCAAAGTATATTTTAATCATCTCGAGTTCAAAAACATTGTCGCCATTTTACTTTTGAAATATACGTCAATCAAATACAAATTTACACAAGGGAACCGATTCGGCATCGAGTCTTTATAAATAATTATAAAAATAGATACACACGTGGAAACTTAAATCTTTTTATAAAAAGAAAAAGAAAGAATCTACTTTATCTGTGTATGGATAATTTTAGATCGCGCATAGATAAATGAAGCATGATAGATAATTGGATTCAGATAAGGACCAACAAGTTTAGAAATCGCTTCGAGCAATGATATCACTAATCTAATTGACCGACTCATTGTCGCTTCATTGACCAATCAACGTGTTCTACTTCGTATATAACATTTTTTTTATCTTGATACTCTTCTAATACATATTATCAAATAATTAATAAATACTGATAATATTCGAACAAAAGATGATATCGGTATGTGACAGGAGGAAATGTCGCACGAAATATATATGAATAATGAATTTCTTTAATTAAACGGCACTATCCTTCATTGGAACTGATCGATCTGATTGACTTTTCAAAATGCAATCACTGTTATCTCAATTAATTAATCGCGGCCAATTAAGAAGCAATTAAAAATGATTATTTCTAACCTTTTACTCGTTATCGATACATTTTGGAAATCCATAACAATGGCAACGACATATCAAAATTATCGATTATTCGTGTGACGATATTCTGTATAAAAAATTCAATCAAAATCGCTTATGCGTATTTACTACGCAAGTCAAAAATTCAAATATTTAATATATTTATAAAAGTGTAACATGTATATATACAGGGGGTCCCACATAAATCTAGTCACGATTTTTCAAGTACTTGCGATAACCTGACAAAAAAATTCTTTCAACAAAAGTTGATCTGTTTTTGATTGACTATACATTGCAATAAAAAAAAAGTTCGAAAACAATTATTTTTTTAATGTTTTTTTAAGGCTACCTTTATTTTTTTAAATAGCACTTACTATTTTTGACTTTACAATATTATAGCCCATATTAATACGAATTCAACGATATAGTATACTATGGGCCTTTGGATGATCTTGAAAGCAAAGAAATTAAAATTTCAACAACAAATTATTTTGCTTGTCGCCGGCGAACGAAAGACACAAGTGTTTTTAAAAACAAACAACTTAATTATGTGTGTAATTTATTGTTACTTAAACAAAACTCAAACAATACCATAGTGCTGTTTCCAGCCATACTTGTTTACACTTAATAAATCAAAATGATTATACTTATTTGGCAATCATAAATCATATTAAATTCTTTACTCTAATGCTCTTTTTTAACTCATATTTGTTAACAGGTTGTACCAAAACGTGCAGCTTTATTATTTGACCAATTAATGATAGCTTTACAAAAAGTCGTAGATAATCAAGGAAGACAAAATATTGGAAATAGTAAATCTTTACCAAGAGCTGTACCACTTCAAGTGGGCAACTCACAAATAGAATCATCTGATGAACAAATGGTGATGAAAAAAACTATATTTAAAATATATTTTATGATTATTGCTAGACTTGATTCAAAATATAAATTATAATAATCAATGATAATCTAATCAATGTAAATACATATTAACAGAAATGCTTTTTCATTCTCTTATTAGTGGGACATTACAAAAAATTCAATCTGATTGATTACTTCCTTTTATTACAGATGGATTTAAAACGACGAGGACAAGCTAAAAGTCGCGTCTATTGGCGATGCTATTTTAACGCTGTAACGTGCTTCAAGAAGAAGTGATAACAATACTTTGAATCATGCCAAGTTTTTTAATGGATTTATCAATTGCTAAACAAAGTTCTTATTATAATTATTCCTATGCTTCAACTGATAAAAAGTTTTTTGTTTTAAATAGTCGAAGAATTCAGTTTGTTTCTTCTTCTTCTTCACATATTTTGTGATTTAAAGAAATCGATTAAAAAACATAAAGGTCATCATTAATATTCCAAATTGAATATATCCAATCAAACAAATTAACTAAATCCAAATCAATTTATTTTGACAATCATGATTAATTTATTTATTATTGTCGTATTAACTCTAAGCATTCCCAATTTTCAATTTTTTTGTTAACTTCTAATCACCGGTCAATAGCTTTCATGGCTGATGTTGCATTGAAATAAACAGTAACAGTTATAAGGTCTAACAAATACGATTTTTTATCGATCAAAAATTACAATAAATATTTCTCATCTCGTCTATGCTCTCGAGTTCCTCGACAAGATGAAGAAATATTTTTATTGATAAACTTTACGAGACTCGTCTATTGCATTTTACAATCTTAAATTTCAAACAACAGTCTTCTCTTCAAGGTAAGATCGAAAATGAACGCGCGTAATAAACTTCTACGAGATAAATAATTTTAATAGGAAAAAAACGAAATCTGTACCTTTTTATAAAAATATTGATATGTTAAAAATTAATTGACGAAAGGTAAGCTAGTAAAACTTAATTTTCATATTTCCCTATCATGATCATCTCAAAAATTATTTAGATTTGTATCCAATAGTTTTACCTTAATTTGAACAAGCCATCTGTATTCCAGATTAGTAGTCAATAAGTTTAATAATAATATTTGCGATATTATTTCATAGATTAATAATTATAAAGCGATACGGTATCAAATAAAGTTATTATTTACATAATTTTTGTATCTATTTGTTCAAAAGGGTTTGGTCTTGATTTCGTATCGTATATAAAATATTGCCAATATTAATAACCTAAATATATGTAGGATTGTCCCATAGTAACAATATTTCATTTAAATACTATTTTAAGCATCAACATTCGAGTTTGCTACTTTGGAAAATCTTTCAAAGCATATTATTAACTCACAATGTTTCGTATGAGGGAACATATCCACAGGAACAGCTTTTATCGGTACAAAAGGTTTTCCAGCAAATAGTTTCGATCTTGGTCTTGAGAGATCCAACAAATTTTTCATAGCAGCTTGAGGGTCACAAGATATATAAATTAATCTATTCAAATTATTAGTCCTACGTAACATTAATAATGTTTTTTGATCTAAAAATAAATATGTATGAAGTTATTTAGTTATTATTCTATATATCTGCATATTTATATTTACTTACGTATACCAGCTCTTGGTGGATCCAGCACAGCTACGATACGAGATTTTGTTGCCCTTTGCACGATAGGAAGTAGAATATCTTCTGCTTTACCAACAAAAAAATCACTATTGGTAACACCATTTTGAAGAGCATTTTGTTTTGCGTCTTTAATAGCATCAGGTACAACTTCTACACCCAACACTTCACCGCAATGCTGCAGAAATAAGAATTAAATAAGTAAAGAGCGAAACTTGTTGCGTTTTATTATCTACACAATATATAGGCATACCTTTGAGAAAGATAAACCTATAGTTCCAGTACCACTACAAATATCTAGTACTGTAGTATCATTAGTTGGTTCTGCCATATCGATGATTGCTTTATATAAAACTTCAGCACCTAATGTATTTACTTGGAAAAAGGCTTGTGGTGATATACGAAATTTCTTATCTAACAAAATTTCTTCTATATACTCGGCTCCACTTATATGCTGTATAGTATTTCCAGATTCACTACCAGCACTTCTAAAAGATATAAATAAAAAAATTAGAGAATAACGATCATAATTTCTCATTTAATAGAAACCTACTTTTTTCTCATTGTTTGAAAATAAAGTGATGTAACATTTATACTGGATCCTTTTCCAACCTCAAAAAATTCTTTCAGCATTTTCTGTAATTCTTGTAGCTTTTCATCGCTTAAATCTTGGGGATTTATTCCTACTATTAACATTAATTGATTGAGACGACTAGTTCTAGCAGTAACTTGTCTCCAATACCCACTGTTATCTACTGGATTAAAAGGTTCTAAACCAGAAATTTGTACAAATTCTTCTAAAATCTACAGTATAAATAAATTGAAATTATTTTACTTATCAAATAATTTAATTATAATATTTCAATATGCGAAATAAAAAATATTACCTTTACAGCAGTTTTCATACTTGTAGGAATGTGACAGAGATTATCGATAGGACCTACTGCTGTACAACCAGCAGCATAACTAGACAGTCTAAATCCAATTATAACTTTATCACCTTTTATATTCTTACCTGCAATATAATTAAAATATTCAATCATAATTTACTTATGATAATATATCATATCCTTAAAAAAACACTTAATGATATGTAATGTCATTCATTTACCAATTGTAAATTCACATTTGTTTCTATAAGCTTCTGTACTTTCAGTGTGTAGTATAGGCTTTAATTCACAAGGCAAACCTTCATGCAGTTTCTTTTGCGAACTAAGCCACTTTGACAGATCTTGGCAACAATTCTGTTTAGTGTAGTTGTCAAGCATTTGCTGACCGAGTTTTATTAATACGGACCTCATTTCTCCTTGCTTGAATTCGAGCTGAAATATTAAAACAGTATTTCAATATTTATATGTTATATAGAACATTTCTTGATAGTCTTTTAAACAAATTTATAATATCGCCTTACTTGATCCGGATAAGACATATTCCATAGAGGAGTAGTTGTTAATTTAACTCTATCCATAGCGGACATGCTCGAATCAATGTCAGTTTTTAATTTCTTATTAATCTTATTCTCTTCTTCTAATTTTCGTTTTATAAAAGGATCTGGAGCGGGTTTAGCGATCTAAATAACAAGATGAAAATCAATATTTGAAAGAGAATCAAATTTTTAAAAGTTGTCTATATAAAAAAGAAAAATAATAATACCTGAGCAGTAAGCTTGCAATTTTTCCATAAAATTCCATTTAAAGTAGATATAGCTTGTGTACGACATTCTTCGCTTCTGAAACAAACATAAAGCCATCCGTTGGGACGTTTCGGTGACTTTACTTTGCAAGGTTTTAAATCAAGCTTCTCGTTCAACAATTTTTTAAATTCTCCAATTCCATAATATTTAGGTAGTCCACGTACTTCAACTTTAAACTTTTCTGATGTGAAATTTTCTCTTTCAAGATATGCGTAAGGATTATTTTCATTTTTCTCTTTAATATCTTCTACTGGAGCTTGCTTAGTTTCAGAATCTGTCATTGTTATTAAATGAAATGACTATCAAGTACTAAATATCATATAACACGTTTTGATCATGAGTCAATTCATGAATTTGATAGTTATTATATAGATTCTGCTGTTTTAAAATTTTCTTTCATTTAATTTTTATATACTCAGTAAATTCTTTTTATCTGTTATTTACAAATTCTTCAAATTAATGATTTAAAATGAAATAACCATGCCACATTCTTCAAAAAATTATTCTTTGGACGAAAAAACGAATACTTTAAACCACACAGGTTAAACCGCATTACCGAAATATACAAGTTACATATGTTTCAAGATCACTGTACTTTGTAATGTAATTAGCGCCATCTACTATATTAAAGATCAATTTTATCCTTTTTCAGAGAACAATCGTCACGTCGATAATATTACTCAGTCAATAATATTAAAACATAGGTTGCTTCTATCAAGGAAAACAGAAGTACATAAAAGCTCATAAGTCCCCATTTTTATCTAATCAGATATTTTATCATTTGTATGTAATTATTTAACCACTCCTGTGCAGTGGTGTCTTCGTGAATCAAATTTTCCTGTAATATAAGTAAAGTGCATTAGTACATTAAAATAATTGTCAATTATTCGATGCAAGTGTCTATTGTTGTCTAAAAGTTTGGAAAATATGATCTATGTACCGTCTTCTTCGAAATCCACCTTCAGACTGGCACGTTATCCTCTATCAAAGTTCTTTTATTAGATGTTGTTTATATGACTTTCCGAACGTTGCATATGTATATAAAGAGAATAATGCACTTAATTAATAAAATCTATTATTATAACATTTTGATTTTAGTATTTTACCCTTGCATTCATCATTGCGCAGGAGCGGTTAAATAATTACATGAAAATGATAAAAATACTAAAATCAGAGCGTTAAAATCTTGAATTTTATTTATTAGATGCATTATTCCCTTTATACACATGCGCAACGTTCGGAAAGTCATATAAACAACATTTAATAAAAGTAATTTTATAGAGGACAATGACTCAGTTCAACGGTGGATTTCGAAGGGGACGGTACATAAATCATATATTCCGAGCTTTTAAACAACAATAGACATTTCTATCGATTAATTAACAATTATTTTAATACTCTAATACACTCTGCTTATATTTTTGATTCTTTAAATTAAAATAAGCTGATTCTAATATATATATTGTTTTATTTCATGTCGTTTCATAAAATTTTATCATTAACATCGCCTAACAAATTGCATTTAAAAAAAAGAATTGTTAACATATAGATATCTTACGTGTCTTTTTCTTTTTGCAAGCAGTTTTTGATCAGCATCACCATTTTACTGGAAGACTTACAGCCGATAAAAATTCTAATCTTAAACTAGTTACACTTGTTTCTTTCACGAGTTCTTCTGTGTGCATTGATTCTTCTATCTACGATGTTTCCTTTTCAGAAAATTTGTCCTGTCAAAGAGATCACTCCTTTGAAAATTCGAACGAAGCATGAAAAAAAGAATATTGTTACATAATTGTTTAAAAAAAGAGTACATATTTTGAAAATGTTTTATAATAAATAGTTAGATATTATTTGCGATGAAATTATTTTAAACCATTAATAATATAAACATTATTTTTAAATATACAAAACAAAAAGTATCACTAATATCGAACTTCAACAGGAAACTGCATAAGTAATCAAAATGTTTTGGTTTAAATTTTCTTCAAATTTAAAGTTTCCAATTCTAAAAATAGCAGAAATACAAATTATTTTATATTTAAAATCTATTCACTTATACTTTAACTTAGAAAAGAAAAAGTAACATACATAAGTTCTATTCTTAAACAAATTCATTCAATCGAATTAAATTGTTTAAATAATATATTTACAAATGTCCACGTTATTCATTTAATAATACATTATTATACTGCATGGTATTTATATATCGTTTGGTTTGATGAATGTAGATTCATTTTGATCGTCAGCAGATACTTTATCTGTTTGAAAGATTAAAGTGAAATCTCTAAAGATGGAAATATTAATCGTTAGTTATAATATATGCAATGAAATTTTGAAAATATAATATTCATTTAAAAATTTGTATAAATCTACCTTTTTAATGCATTAGACTTATTATTATCTACGTTTGTATTAACAGATGTGAGGACATCATTGTTGTAATTAGAAAATGCTGAATTATCTATACAAATCTCTTTTTTTTGGGAATGAAAATTAATAGTATTTACTTCTATTTGATTTTTATTTTCCATGTCTTCTTTAAAGCGTTTTATTGCATTCTTGCTTTCTTCAATAAATTTATATTTCCTTTTTTTTGCTCTATATAGTTTTTTTAATTCGTACTTAGCTTGTAAACATCTGTTGTTAGGAAAAAGATGTATATTATTTTGTAAAAAACATAATATCAATACTTTGTTTGTATGTACAATGCTATTACTTTAAAGGACTAATATTAATTTTGCTCTTTAAAGTTTCAAAAAAATGTGTATCGTCTTCATCATTATTCACTTTGTTTTCTTCTCTCACCAGTTGTATTAAAGATTTATGAGAAAAATTTTGTCGAGTAATGGCAGAAGAACATATGATTCCTAATGAAAATAATATATAAGTTTATTTCCAATAAAAATATGAAGAATAATTATATACATTATTAACATTAATATTTAGAATATAAATACTTGAATAAATGGAATTTAATTTTTCTGGATCCATAGTAGAAGTAACTCAATCAAACTAAACGCATATAAATTTTACAGAAATTAAAATAGTTCTGGAAACATCTTAATTATTGAATCCTATTGTATTCAAAAATATAACACTAAAATAAATATATATGCGTTGCTATAAAGTATAATTATTCGAAACTGAACTCAAAAAACATTTGAAAGAAAATATGCAAAAGCAAGATGCGCAAAAGCAAGATACGCATAAGTAAGATGCGCAGAAGTAAAATCCGCAGAGCCAATACGTGCGGAAATATCTGTGTATGGTTAGTTATGCTTAATTCACACGTTTTAGCATCAAGAATAAATATTAATAATCCACTCGATAAACAAATGCATAAATAAATATAGATAATCTGTATAATTGATAAATATTAGTTATTACAAATAATTGTTACGAAAAAAAAACAGCAGGGTGTATTAATATTTACGATCATTCTATTAAAACAAATTAGAGGTTAGTCGGTATACGTATGTATGTAAATTCACGTTAGATTTCATCATATAAACTCATAACCTCTTCAATGCTGTATATTTGATATCTTAAGAGTACAGAAAGGGTATAATAAAATAGTGAAGAAGGAACAAATAAAAGAATGCGGTGTGTTATGACGATTAAGAATAAATTATTACCGGTATTTCGTCATAATGCGACGATTTGTCGATCGTTTTACAGAAATCATCATTTAGAAATTCGCAATGTATTACCGGTTTATATTAAACCACAATTTCCTCGAATAGAACTTCCTAATCAAAGCCTTGGAATATTGAGTCGAAATATTAGAAATCGTAGAGAATGCACAGCTATTTTATCTGTCAGATTATTTTCATCTAAGAAACCAGATAAACTTCCTCCAAAGTACGTACATTTCTTTTTGCATTCATAACACTTTCAAAATGAATGAAACCGCAAAGACCTCATTAATATATTGTTATTATTTTAGTGAAAATGATGCAGAGCAATCAGAAGACTATTCAGCCACTTTACCTGCTACGGTGGTTGTACCAGAAGTATGGCCTCATGTACCGGTTATTGCCATCAGTAGAAATCCTGTTTTTCCTAGATTTATTAAGCTTATAGAACTTTCTAATCCTATTCTTATTGATTTAATACGTAGAAAGGTTAAATTAAATCAGCCTTATGTTGGAATATTTTTGAAGAAGAATGAAGAGTAACTATTGTTCTAACAATAATTTATCATGTCATCAATTAAATGTGTGATCATTTATTATTATTTTTACATAGAAACGAATCAGAGATAGTACAAAATCTTGATGATATTTATTCTGTTGGTACATTTGCCCAAATTCACGAAGTACAAGATTTAGGAAATCGTTTAAGACTTGTAATAATGGCGCATAGAAGAATTAAGATTGTTGGGCAAATATTGGAAGATGTTGCTGCGGTACAACCAGTGCATGGTAAAAAAATTAATATTATACATATATTTAAATAATAGTATTTATTCATAAGATCAAGTTCAAATATAGAATATATTTTATATATTCTACACATATTATATATCAAATATATAATAACACAAGAGTCAATAAGACTAATTAGCTTATGTATTTTCTAACACTTTATTTATTTTTATTTACAATGATTTACCCACATATATTTTCAATAATTTCGAAAATTTGTTGTACTTAAAGTACTATCATAAATAATAATTTTAAACAACTGTTGTGAGAATAATTGGCTTGCGCAAAATATATATTTTAATTTTCTTTTCTTTCTTTTCTTTATGGCAAAATTATCATTTATACGGGAAGAATAATTTCTTTTTTATTGCAAATATAAATCTGCCTATTTTATGCAGAGATGAAACTGACGTTTCCACTATTAAATACAACAATTAACGTCCCTGTAGACGATACAATGACTGCTGGTAAAGTGAGCCGTAGATCTGCACAACGCAATAAACAGTCAGAGAAGACATCTGGATCGACAGAAAATACGGATAATTCTACTATAGTAGAAAATATCATAAAAGATAAACTACCATTGGAACAAAAACAAGCGGAGCTCTCTCCTGAATCAACATCAGATTCTCAGCCAATTTTAATGGTAGAAGTTGTGAATGTAACGCATGAAAAATTTAAACAGACAGAAGAAATTAAGGTATATATATATATATAATCATAATGATATTTATAAAATATTTATAACTCTATATTTATAACTATATTTATAACTATATTTATAACTATATTTATAACTATATTTATATGTATATCTATAAAAACTCAAATTTATGATTTCATAGGCACTTACACAAGAATTAATTAAAACTATTAGAGATATTATAAGTATGAATCCTCTGTATCGAGAATCTCTGCAACAAATGCTTCATCAAGGACAAAGGGTGGTCGACAATCCAGTTTATCTCAGTGATCTTGGTGCTGCTTTAACAGGAGCAGATGCACAAGAACTGCAACAAGTGCTAGAGGAAATGGATGTGAGTATATCTACTTACATTTATCAAATATTATAAATATCTTGCAATATCTTATTAATTCTCTTTTTTATCTTTTTTTTCGTGAACACAGATTCTTAAAAGATTGAGATTATCGCTTGCACTTCTAAAAAAAGAATATGAATTAAGTAAACTACAACAAAAGATTGGTAGAGAAGTTGAGGAAAAAGTAAAACAACAACATAGAAAATATATATTGCATGAGCAGTTAAAAGTCATTAAGAAAGAACTAGGTTTAGAAAAAGATGATAAAGATGCCATAGAAGAAAAATATAGAGAAAAAATAAGACAAAAAACAGTTCCCAAACCGGTTATGGATGTGTTAGAAGAAGAATTAAATAAATTAAGTTTCTTAGAAAGTCATAGTAGTGAATTTAAGTGAGTACTTTGGAAAATATATTTATCATAAAATATATTTTAATTTGTTTTATGTTCACTGTTACATTTAATTTTAATTTTTTTTTTTTTGTTCAGTGTTACAAGAAATTATTTAGATTGGCTAACTTCGATGCCTTGGGGTATAACTAGTCCAGAAAATTTAAATTTGCAACAAGCTGTAGAAATTTTAGACGAAGATCATTATGGAATGGAAGATATCAAAAAAAGAATACTTGGTATACTTATTTGATATTTCTTTTAAAGAAATTGTAGTAATATTTTTCTCATACGTTCTCTTTATTTTTCAGAATTTATTGCTGTCAGCCAACTGAAAGGTTCAACTCAGGGTAAAATATTATGTTTTCATGGTCCACCTGGAGTAGGAAAAACATCTATAGCTAAATCGATAGCTCGAGCACTTAACAGAGAGTATTTCAGATTTAGTGTTGGAGGAATGACAGATGTAGCAGAAATTAAAGGACATAGACGAACATATGTAGGGGCCATGCCCGGCAAAGTAATTCAGTGCTTGAAAAAGACTCAAACTGAAAATCCATTAGTGTTGATAGACGAAGTAGATAAAATTGGAAAGTTAGTATCTCAATGATACATAAACAATATTAAAATTATTATAAGACAATTATTTATATATTATATAATTAATAGGGGACATCAAGGAGATCCTGCTTCTGCCCTTTTAGAAATGTTGGACCCAGAACAAAATGCAAACTTCTTAGATCATTATTTGGACGTTGCAGTCGACTTATCGAAAGTTTTGTTTATATGTACGGCGAATGTAGTTGATACTATTCCAGAACCTCTTAGAGATCGAATGGAAATGATCGAAATGTCCGGTTATGTAGCAGAAGAAAAACTTGCAATAGCTAAACAATATTTAATACCACAGGCTATGAACGATTCCGGACTTAATGATACTCATATTAACATGCAAGACAATTCGCTTACATCTTTGATTAAATATTATTGCAGAGAATCAGGAGTTAGAAATCTTCAGAAACATATAGAAAAAATTCACCGCAAAGTGGCTTTTAAAGTCGTTAAAAAGGAAATAGACAAAGTTGATATTACCGCAACAAATTTACACGAATTTGTAGGAAAACCAGTATTTACTCAAGATAGAATGTATGAAATTACACCACCAGGTGTAGTCATGGGTCTTGCATGGACTGCCATGGGAGGTTCCACATTATTTATAGAAACTGCTGTTCGAAAACCTGTAAATGTAAATAAGATGGAGGGTACATGCGAATCAACTGGTCATTTAGGAGACGTAATGAAAGAATCAATACATATAGCAATGACAGTAGCTAGGAACTTTTTAAAACAAGAAGATCCATCGAACACATTTTTATATGATTCTCATATACATTTACATGTTCCCGAAGGAGCTACTCCTAAAGATGGACCAAGTGCGGGTGTTACTATTGCAACAGCATTAATTTCTTTAGCTAAAAATCAAGCTATTAGACAAGATGTTGCTATGACAGGAGAACTTAGTTTAATAGGAAAAGTTCTACCTGTTGGTGGTATTAAGGAAAAGACAATAGCGGTAAATAAAGTAATCTAATATATTAAAATACTTTATGTGTGTAACAGAATGTGATCGTTAACTTATTATTTTCAGGCAAAAAGAGTAGGCGTTAATTGCATAATATTACCAGAGGAAAATAAGAAAGATTTCAATGATCTCCCAAAATACATAACAGATGGTCTTGAGGTTCATTTTGCTTCAACATTTGAAGATGTTTATCGTATATGTTTTCTAGGGCAGAAGGCTCCAACTATTGATAATGATGAAACCTTTTCCAATCTTCATGTGTCACCCAAACAACCGGCATCTTTACATGGTAAAGAGAATTGCTTATGAATATCATAGGTTTGTATTTTTTACAATTAATGTATCTTATGCACTCTTACTGAGTATTACTTGTAAGATGTTATCAATTTTATATAATGTTCCTGGCATTAATGCAAAATTGCAGTATATTCAAAGTAAGAGATATTCAATGATAATTGAGCCTGACAAGTTCGTCTTTCCCAAAAGAGTTGAATTGGTCATTATTACTTGATCTTTAAATGCAATTTTAAAACATGTATAAAAACTAAAATGTGACAGATGTTGACTATATTGTTATCTACTGCCAGATGGTAAAATTATAAAAAATAGTTTGTTTCTTTATAGATTTTTATAATCAATATTCATTTAACAAATGAAAGATTCTACACAAAGATCAATATAATAATTAACAATATTAAAGCCGATGTATATTTGTTAAGAAAACAGTTAAAAAGTAAGTACGATAGTTGTTATTATTAAAATACTTATCAATTAATTTTTGAATGTCTTAAGAAGTCAAAATTAATTTTAAATATATATATATATTTTTTTTCAATTTAATTAAAATATGTACGAATATAATTTAAAGGTTTTTTTTTTAATAGACATGTTTATAATTGAAATCTTTAAAAAAAGAATTTATTTATCTCAATATATTTGCTAAATAAATGTTTTTATTTTGTACAAATTTATAAGCTTTAAAATATAATGAAATTAATGAAATTGTACAAATATTTGAACTACGTTTTTATTTTAATATAATAGCGAACAATTTAATATCGGTAATGATCACTTAAAAACTTAAATCTAGGTCAATTTCTACGTTTAATCATACTTCTATATAATTTCTGTTTTAGTGATAATATGCAATCTATTAAAGTGAAGATATCATTTGCTTACAAAATTTGTTAAATCGTTTAAACATATTTTATATTAAATGATGAAGTATAGAAGACACAAATAGAGATATGGCCAAATGTACTTTATTTTTTTATTACATTTTTATTACAAATAAATATAAAATATTAAATTTAATTTTGTTTCATAGCACACACATCAGTTACGTATCATTAGTTTATATAAATCTATTACGATTGAGAAAAATAAAATAACATTGCTATTTAAATTAATGATCATATAATAAACATATTCAATTCAATGAATAACTACAAAATATTAACACAAATTAAAAAAGAAAAAAACGATATTCAAATTTGGTCAAAATTTCCAACAAATTAAATGCAAATATAAAATATTAAATTATTTAAATAAACGTCAAATAAACTCCTTTCTCTTTCTCCTTTTTTCTCTCTTTCTTTCTCTCTCTCTCTCTCTCTCTCTCTCTCTTTCCCTCTCTCTCTCTCTCTCTCTCTCTCCAAGAAGATCATACTTAAAGTGCATAAAAACAGTAGCAGTTGCAAAGTAACTAAGGTTGAAAATGATCAATAAATACAACCCCAGCGGTTTAAAGAAGGGTTATCCTTTTTGCCGATCAGCCGCAACGTGAATTACGCGAAATGAAGAAATATTAAAAATTTAAAAAAAAGAGTTAAGAGAGAAACAAGAGGGAAGATTGTTAAAATAAATAAGAATGAATACATTTAGTATGTATTAAACTTGTGTTAGTGAATATAAGTGTGTAGGTGTATCTACTTATCGATCTTATTGATATCATTAGTGTTGAGATCTTACCATTCCTAGTGGTCAGCAAAAACGTCGTTCGTAAAAACTAACTGCATTATTAACGTTACCGGTGGTAATTTATTATTTTTTTTTTTTTTTTTCCTTTTTTTTTTTTTTTTTTTTTTGGTTATTTAATATTTCCGTTTCCACAAAATGTCGCTATCAACGAGAAGATAATTGTGAGCAACGATTTCCATACAACATATTACAGTTCACGTCATTTTATCTATCTCTTTCTCTTTCAACGCGGATATTACGTGAATATTATTTATGTGTGTATGGGTATGTACGATGTGTATATGTTTCCTCTTATTGTGCGGGGAAATACACTGAACTTCACGCGCATGAATATAGAAGAGAACTGTAAGTAAATACATAAGAGTATGGTATATGCACATGTGTGTGTTTCTCTCTCTCTCTCTCTGTTTTTCAATCTTTCTTTTTTTGTTACTTTCATTATTTCTCTCTTTCTGTTGAGTGACCCAAATTTCGAGAGGTAAGAAAAATAAACCATTTTGATAGAAAATTGTATTCGTCCGTAAAAATTCATCTATACTTCCAATGTTAAACTAACTTTCTCGAAAACATTGATCCAAATGTCATTCGTCGCGGATTTAAGTGTCGGAAATGTTAAAGGGGGTTGAAATTTCTTAGATTGCGTTTGATTGGTCAATGATAGTCGACCAATCAGATGCTGAGATGCTTCAATTTTTCTCATATGACAGATGAATGATACAACACTTGTTGCTAGTGGCTAATTCATATCGGAGTTAAAATTCGGCTTATTCAAACAATCGATGTCAGTCGTCTGTAATTCATAGTAAAAAGGTATATTCTTATCGTAAATTAATATTTCTTATTTTCTTTTCTATTTTATTCCATAATTAATTAACTATATCATTTTAATAGTGTATTTATATTATTTTAAAATAGTGTACTATATTTATATGCTTCTTTGTTACTAATAATTTATTCATTTTTGTTTATTTTTTTAATATTTTAACACATTGCGTACTGCGTTCTGCGCGGTCAAACCGCGCTCAAAACCCGCATATTTCCGAACGCTGTAACAGCATGCTTGGCGAGCAATCTAAAGCGGATACATACAATTCTAATTTTTTATTGGACGAACAAACTTTACATTGTTTGGTTGGGAACTTCTTCTTGCCTGTACTTGTTATTGTTTGCAGTATATGCAACAATCTATTTGCCGTTGCTTGTTCACGTTGACGATTGATTCGAAATAAAACATGAGAACGAGATAATATCTCGTGACCCTGACGCAATGTGTTAACACAAACGCATATGAAATAATAGATATAAAATTATTATGAAAAATTGTGTTGCTATAGATTACGAAAGTTATACATGGATGAGTTGAAAAGTCCTAAGCCTAGCGTAGAAATAATTATTTTCAATCAAACTAACTTTTATTAAAAAAAAAAGAATGTGTTTCTGTTGAGACTCAAAACTTGTTAACTCACCCTTGCACATGTAGTTTAAAAAAATGTTCATACCGTCGTCATAATTCTTAGAATTTATTTCATGTACCATTAAATCGAATTAATGCAAGGGGTTGTGGGTCAGTGACTTTGAAACGATTGAACTCGTTTGTAGGAAATTAGATCGGATGTGTGACAAATGATTTATACTCGTCATAAATATATTAGAGCCTATGAATATATTGTATCATTGATATCCCATTTGTTCGAATATCAACAAATCTAATAAAAAAAGTTTATATATATATATATTATACTATACATGCATGAACATGACTTTTTAAAAAGAATAAAAAATAGATCGAACTTAAAGATTTGTACTTATAATAAATGTAGTAGAATAAATAATACATTGTATCATTGATACTATTTCGGTTTAAGTATCAAAAAATCTGATAACACAAATTTATACGTATATCTATTTATATATATATGTATATACATGTATGTCGTGTACGTGAGTTTAGATTGTACTGATACAATTAAGCAGAAAATTTCAAATAAAGATTAAAAACTTTTAATACCATTATCATCATAAATTGCATAGAAAATATCTGTCATATATTTACATACTCGTAAAAATAATGTTACGAAATTGAAAGGGAGACAAGTGTATGCTTAGTAACTCATTGTCAGTATTTACCTTTCGGCAGTCGAGTATCTTTAGACGTGTTAAGTCACAAATCAATTAGAATACTTTAGAGATATATTTAGTTCAAGGTTCTTTTTTGGTTTTAATTAATATTATTTTTCTCATTAATATTCTCGTAAAAATTCACAAAATTAAACAGATCCGTTCAATAATCGTCTCTTGTGCAATTTTATTAATTTCGTAGGCGGGAAATACAAAGGACGCGACTGTAATAATATAGTGTGTCTTGAATGTATGTAATTTTCAAGTTAAACCACATATATTATGATTAAGAATTCTCTCTCAACGCGTTCTTCTGATCAAACTGAACTATCTTTCATTCAGTCTCAAGCGTTAGAGTTATAAAGAAGAATTACGAACTTGCGACGAATGAACGAAGAAATCGTTACAACCTGTAAGAATTCCATTTATATTTTCTCAATATATTATATTAGGATAATTAATGATTTCAATATAAAATATATTCATTTTTAGATATATTTATTTAGATATAATAAATTTTTTATATTTCGATTTATTTAGATTCATAATAAAATATTAAACGTGTTTATATATACGTTCGATAAAACAATACTAACGAATGTAAAATTAATTTCTCATTTGGATATATATTAAATAATCAGGAGTGTTTCTTTTTTTGTATGTGTACATACACACACACACTTTATTGAGAATCAATTTTCTATTTAATACAATAAGCGATTTAATTTGATCTCATAGTAATATCACTGTTTAATTTACTTATCGTTGTGAAAGAAACGTTTCTCCTATCGCAATTATTATTGTATGGTCTCTAGGAAGATAAGTCTTATCGTTTACATTTCCATTGTTCTTTGCGACTTTAGTTAATTCGATTTAAAAAGCAAAAAATGTTTCCTTTTTTATTTCAGAAATTTGATAATATCGAAACTTTAATAGTACAAGATCTTTTTGATAATCAATGTGGACCCGTTGTTGTATTACGGTTAAACATATTGTTAAGTGATGTATGAGAAGAGTTAAAATATGCCATTGCATTTAATATTTTTATTAATATGGAGTTTTGTGATAGAAGAAGGATTATGTATCACATTGAAGAGAGTTGCTTTACAACCGTCCAACCCATTAGACGATTATTATGCTTATCGTCATATCTCAATCATTCATTTCGATGTACCAGAATATTCAATAACTGCGGGATTCAAGTAAGATTTTATTCCATATTAATTAATCAATTAATTATTTCTAAAAAACAAATTACAATAAGATTTTGATTAACCGGTTCGCGTTTATCCGACGTTTCGATTAACCGAGATTTTAGTTATCTGTTTGTATAAATCTCCGGATGTAAAACATGAAGTGTTAAAGATTTAACTGAATTATATAATTAAACACTGACGTGTACATATATTGTATATTATTATAGATTTATAGTAAAAGAAGAAAAAACCGGTGGTATAGGTAAATGTTCTCCAAGAAATGTTTCATTGTATTTGAAATCCGGTAGTATACCATTAATTCGTCCAGACGGATCGATTATCGAGGCAAAACTTATGAAGAGAAGACGCAAACACTATGCTTTAAATATTCAAAGTAATGGTAACGAACATATGATTACTATCGATTCTCCAATACCCGGTGACTGGTATATAATTGCTTTTCGAAGTTGGACTGATCCTAATAGCGATCAGATCAAACAACAAGGTGAATATTGTTAACTCTTTCTTATATCTGTATGTATATATTTATATATGATTATCAATGTTTATTAAATTACATTTATGTAGGTCTCGGTGCATCATGTGATACTGTCCTCGATGCTGAATTGTTAATAGAGATGCCATCTATAGTATCATTTATAGAATTTAACAAAGATTATGAAATCGAATTAAACAAAAATACAGATACTTCTGTAGCACAAATTTCAATGCCAAATAATTTATTAAACGCGGTACTCGTGTTGAACCAATCCTGCGAAGAGGACTGTAAATTTGCAATACATATTGTTGCTCAGGAACATATCACAGGGCAGATCATTAACGATACAGATACTTTGATCCCCTTCAAGCCTTATTCAAAAACATTCCATTATATTACACTTCGTTTACTTTCTGGAAATATGACCAACATTTTGTTAAGATTCGAAAACGATACTTCGTTCGTTGAAACTAACCAAGTTAAAAGTATAAATCTTATAAGAAAATCATTGCCGGAGTTCTTTCTTTTCGATTACGAACATCGTGGTGAAAACGATACGAAGTCTATACCTTTCAATTTAACCAGCGATGGTCTTACCATTCTTGATTTTGAAATTGGTCGAGTTTACGATGTTGGCGGTACAGTGACAGTGAGAATAAAAATGCTTGATGTGGATAAAAAGGATCAAAAAAATGTTTTCGTCGTAGCTTGCATTAATTTGGGTTAGTATTACTTTATTCTTTATTTTGCTGTAAACCGTAATCTTTAAAATACATCTAATGGATTAGATGATAATTAGTGTCAAATATTTGCTATGATACACGATCGATTGGAACCTCTTTTAGTTCTGGGCTTTAGTTTGCTATTGAATGTATAACTAACAATATGTGAATACATGAATGACAAATATTTATTCAGGATATTACTCGAATATCACTGCTGGTGGAAGTTGTATACGAGCACAAAACGTAACTGGGGCAGATATATATGCAAATGAGACGGCACCGGCTCATGTTCATATACCATTTCCCGAACCCGGAAGATGGTACGTCAGTTTAAAATCATTTTGCGTCGAAGGAAAATGTAATTGTGCTGAGAATTGTTTGAACGGTACTACCATCTGTCAAGAATGCGAATGTATGAGCCCGTGTTCTGTTAAAATAGAGAGCAGTATATCATCGTCACCTTGCATCGAAGGACGTTGTAATTCGCATGGAAAATGTATGCATTACATGAGCGGTGGCTTTGTCTTTTCAGCGTGTTATTGTACCGAAGGATATCGTGGTTTTGATTGTGCCGATGGAACTTATGTTCTCGGCAACAAAGACATACTCGTACGTTGTTTGATGTTAACCATAAGCAATCTTGGCTTCATTGGTTCGATTTACTTAGCAATACGTCGAGAATATTTTACAGAAGCGATCGTTTATACCGCTGTAATGTTCTTCTCAACATTTTATCATGCCTGCGAAGCTGGAGAAAATGTTTACAGTATTTGTATAATGCGATTGAGCGTTTTACAATTCTGTGATTTTTTCAACGCTCTTCTTTCGATTTGGGTTACATTGGTAGCAATGGCTTCCTTTGGACCAAAGCTCACAGCATTTTTTCAGATATTGGGTGCTATTGTTCTTGCTATGAGTTCAGAAATGGATCGCACCGCTCTTTGGGTATTTCTTTTACCCGCCATCACTGGATCTTCTTTGATTGGGTTATCTTGGGGACTTACATGTAAAAGAAGAAAAACTGTCCGATATCCTTCGCGCGTCTACAGGTGTGTATTCATTAGTTTTTTAATAATTTTATAATAAACCGTATTTTTTGTGTGTATACAATTTAAAAATTATTTCCAATTAATATGAATTTTTTTACTATAAAAATAATCTACTTTTTCTTTTTTATTGACAGAACCATCTACTTCCCGGCGGGCCTTCTCATAGTCTCTTTGGGTCTTGTTTGCTACGCCTTTTTACAAACGCGTAGTAATTATCACATTGTTCATAGTTTATGGCATATCTGCGTGGCCGTCGCGGTTATGCTTTTATTACCCAAAAAACATTATATGAAATAAATATGTTTTTAGTAAAGATATTTCGAATTCAGGGAACATAAATGATATATATGGGCATGCATACTCGTACATACTTGTACGTATTTATTATCCTATAAAATATTGATCAGAAATTTTCTCATGGTCAATTGTATATTATCTTAATTATTAATCAAAAAAAAATGTTATTCTTGTAAAATGAACTATACGGCATTACATTTTTCCACGAGAAAGATATACAAGAATAGTTTATAAATATGTAATATACATGGTGTATCCTTATGGGTAGTACAACGAGGCGGGGGATAATTCTACGTGTAAAAATAAATCGAAATAAAGGAATAACATTTTTACGTTTGAGATCCCAGCTCTGGGATACACTCTGTATATAAATATATATACATTTATTTATAAGAAATTCGAAAGATATTTAAACGAATTCAATAATATACAGTATCAAAAGCAATTATTTTAACAGTATTATTTAGCATATTCGCATTTCAATGCAAAAGAATTTAAAAACAAAGAAATCTTTTTATCAATTTCTATTAAAATGATGGCAAAGTATATATGTAATTTATCACGGTAAATTGTTATAAAGACATTATTAGAAAGGTTGAACACATATAACTTGTGCTTTTAATAACGTAGAATTATTGTTATTTAGGATTGTAAGTAAATGATTTAAGATTCGTTCAAATCGTATTATATTTAAAGTTTTAATTTTCTATTAATATATTTCTAACGATCTACACGCAATTCCACAAGTGTAGATTTGTTAATTATTATTTATATGTGTGAAATAGAGATTTGATTTGCATCATGTAGGAATCAAAACCTCGCATACGTAAAAATATTATTTATTATAATAACATTATATATATACGTATAGACGCGCATATAATTTTGGTCAAATGTACACATACATGCATTATATTATATATGTACATTAATAAGTCAATATCATGGATATAGTATAGATAGCTAAAAAATTTCAAAGAAATGAAAAAACAGAATATATATATAAACGCGTATACCACAGGTACATGAGTTACATGTATTTTTAATATGTATATTTTAAATTGAACAATTCTCTAGTCGACTCTATTTTTCTTGTCCGAACTAATGTTGATAGTTTTTTATGTCCGATAACAAAAAAAAAACCAGTACATATTTACAGTGCACGAATCAATGCAGAAAAAATTACAGTACTATATATGATATATCATGGCAGGAACACATTTCGTCTTTACTATATGTAAATATGTAATTTTCCTCTTTCTATATATATATATATATATATATATATATATATTCTATATTGAGTCCAATATATACATACATACATATACACGTATATATATGTATGTAACAAATGATAAAGGGGAAAAAATAAAAAATTATATTCGTTAAAAAATTGATCGTGAAATTAATCAATAGAATTGAGAATATTAAAAAAAAAAAGAAAAAAAATAGACGAAAATAAATATGTTGTTTGTTTGTTAAAGTTCCTTTTTGCTTTTTTTCTTCAATGTTGCAAATAGAAATAAGTTTGTGTAACAAATGAAGATATTACATTTATTTAAACTAATTAATAATAATATGAGATTAATTATAGCGACGAAGATATTGTAGATGACGCATTTCGTAAGTTAGCCGAAGAGACAGCCGTTATAACATTTGATAAAAGTGATAACATTGTTTCCAAAGAAAAACCACAATGCGGATAAGAATATGAACAATTTTTACCAGAACGACCAGCTTCTACCGCTTCTTGTATAGCCGTACCTTGCATTGCTGTTCGAAATACTTGATTGGTAGTTATCGCATCGATCATTCTATCAAAAGAAGATATTTTTTCATCTTCGTTATCTTCGTCGGCTACTCTTACAGCTGCAGCTGCTTGCTGCGAATAAGTACAAACTGCACGTTGCATACAAGAAGTTGTATCTATACCATGACGAGCCAATGCGTCGTCCAATTTTGTCATGGATTGTGCAAAACCATTTTCTTCGCCTATATAAAAGAATATTTTCGATCGATATAAAAAGTATGTTATAATATTTAATTATACTTATTCCGATTTTTTTTAAACTGCTATTTATTGAATTAATATTTCGAAACATTTATGGTCAGTATAATAATTGATTACAATATGTAACCCGCTCCTATTATAAATACTGATAAATTTTTTATTTATACCGGCCAATTATTTTACAAAATACTGACCAAGTAAATAGAAGTGTTTTTTTTTTATTTATATTATTGTATTTACCATTATTATAAATGTTTAATTTAAATATTGTAATACTTACTTCTCGCATAATTTCCGTAGGTACCTGACAGAACGTATAATAATTTTGGAATGATAAGAATGGAACCAACTCCAATAATAGCACCTAACAAAAGTCCACCCAAGTCAATTTTTGCTGGAGCATAGGGTGATACGGCGTAACCCTACGAATATAAATGAACGTTGAATCTTTCAAGTGGTTTAAATATCTATAACGGTTGACATTATATATATCTATTTGGAGTTTAGAATTATTGAAAAAGAAACATATTAATGTATACTGATCTTGTGTACTTACAGAACCAGAACTCCCGATATTAGTAAAACCAAACCTAGCTTCTTGATTACGATCCGAGATATCATTAATCGTAGTCTCTCCGCGTTTCGTTGATGTATCAGTTCGAACTTCGGCTTGTGATGGCATCGCTATTTGATCCTGTGCCTTTCCAGCTTTTTCCATGTAAGCTAAAGAACTTGGTATAAAACTGTACAAATTAAAAAACAATTGAGGAATGATGTTAAAAGTAATGTAATAATATTATAACAATCAATATATTACCCTCTGTCGTCATATTTAGGAACACAATTCGCACGAACTGCCAGAAATACTAAGATCATTCCGATATTATTTAAACTATGTTTCAACATCTGTAACAATTTAAAAAAATGAGTACGTATTGTTTAGAAAATTTTTATTTTATTATACACGCGTATGTATATAATATTATGTATTAATTAATTAATAGAGTATGTTAAGTTTACCTTGAAAGTTAATGATCTAAAATAGTTGTCTATTCACAGATAAGACGAAAAATGAATTTTTAGCAGATGCTTATACGAAATGCTTTCACTAGCAACTGTGAAAATAAGACACTGTTACTGACATATATAGTTCTGCACCACCCTTTATGGACATGACAAATCGTCAACATAATTGCAGTACGGTTTCGCTTTCATTGTTAGATTTCCATAGGATATTATCACGATGCGTGACGTTCTACTGCCTCTTCGCATCATTCTTTTAGTAAATAAGTATACACTCTATAGCTATACCCTTTTGTCCCCGAAGTCACTCTTCTTTAGTATTATTATTATTACAGGTCACTCTTCCCGAAATTCTAAGTACTTTCGAAGCTGAAATAATTAGTCTTTTGCAATGCTAATTGCTCGATTATTAACACGTTAGAACTGATCTTCAGTTTCATTCTCACCGTTCTAAATGTAACATAAATCATATTTTTACAAATTTTATCGTATTTATATAATTTTCTTTTTTTTTTTAATCGTCAACTATATCAGTTAATAAGGTAACACTTTTATTTATTATATCAATATTTTGTAAAACAAATAATTAATATAAATAATAATAATTACTTTCGCCTTTTCATCGTGTAAATATTAGAAGCGTATGAGATACATCAAGTAGCAGGAAAATGTCTATAATTTCGCAACCGTTGAAAAGTTTCGATTTTATATATTGTTTCAAGGTAAACAATTGTAAAGTGAGAAAGTGGATACACTTTGGAGCAATATAACGACAGTGAAAAGAAACTAGCGCAGACATTTCATAGGTTTTATTATATATACATCTATCTTTTCAGAATGGAATTCGTTCTGGACGTTGCTTAGGAAAATTTTCGAAAGTTACGGCACGGCATGTGCGCGTGCTTAATTGGACAAATCGTCTTGAGTACGTAAGAAGACATTTTTATTTTTTTTTTTTTATACTTTTCTTCCTATCCAAGTGAAAACAATAGTATTGCTTTTGCAAATTTTAATATACATAAATACGTATTTATGTTAACTTTATAAAAACATAATTAACAAAGAGAAATGTATTTGAGAGACATATAAAAATATTTATAATGAGAAACGTACAATTCTTAATGAGAAATAACACGACATAATAATTGCTAATGTCCAGGCAATTTGGTTTGTCATTCTTCCTAGGCTCGTTAATTCTATTTAAGAAAAGGAATTTCCTGTTTGTCGAAGGGGTGGGCTAGGCATTATACATATTCTGCCAGCTAGCTAGAACTCGACTTGTAGGAAACTGTCCATCAATGCCATCGTGTTTAATAAGAATAAGCTGATATACATTTTTTATCGAATACCTGTTACAAAAATACCTAACTATTTATAATTTATCTATCATAAATAATTTTTTTTTTGTTACTAATCGTGTAAGTATTTACTTTCGTTTTTAATATATATCTTTATAAATGTGAAGTGAAGTGCTTATCAAGTTCATCGAAATTATTGTTCATGAAAGTGAAAGATCATGTAATTTTTAACAATTAATTGAAATGTTCATATTAATTAATCTGTGTTCATTAGGAATATACGATATCGAAGATTTCTGCAATGAATTCAACAATCGTACTCGTATTCCTTATCATACAATTAACAATAGCCGATTATATATCGGCTGGTTCCGGTAAAGGAAAAATTTCCAAAATGAAGAATCCATTTGTTGGTCATTCGAAACCTAGCTTTATATCGTTCGATGCTGAAGAAGCAAATATCGATGTAAGTTAGCTAGAAAAATTGATTATTTCATTGAATAAGAAATATCATTAAAATTTATAAAATTATATTCTGTGTCATTTTTTAAATTTTCTCAGATTAGTTGGGACGTATCCATACCTTTTATTTCTATTCCATTACAACAAAAAATTGATGGAGAGAACGAAAAATCGCCGAAGTTACTCAATGTTAATACAAAAGCGTTAACAATTGCTGGAATAATAACTGGAATTTCTTCCTTAGTTGTACCATTATTTTCAAAACCTATGGCACCGCCATTGCAATCTCACTCGCATTATCGTTCGTTGATCTTTGTTATCTAATATACCAATGATAAAAAAAAAGAATTTCTTTTAATCATAAAAATATTTGGACATTTTTAGGAACGGACGATGGAATGGAATGGTCAACAATGGGTAATACAATTAATGAAATGATTTTTTCCAATAATTATGTAGCCCCTTGTATGCAACGCATTGTTTGTTCGATCGTATCGGCTGCCAGTCGTACAGATAATCCTACGAGTACAGAAAAAATTATCGATGGATTATCAAGGTATCATTTAGATTTAAATCATTTCTAAAGAAGAAATATGCACATTAGTATTAATAATAATTCTTATTATTCTTATTATGTATGTTATTTCATCGTAGTCATAGATGGTTCCGAGATGCGACAAATGGAACACTTATCGAGGATGCCGTTTCGGTAGGTCGAGATAATAATCGTGATTGTACGCGTGTTTATAAAAATTGTTTGATAACGCCGAGACTTTTGAACAATTTAATGAGTCAATTCGGAATAATGTGAGATGATTAAAATAACGAAAAAGACAAAAGAAATGCAATACCAATTGCACTATTAGAATTATTTTATGAAAATAATTTTAAGAAAATTTAGATACAATTGAAATTTGTTTTTTTTTAATATTTATTAATTAATAATTATTATTTAAATTAATTTTTTATATTAATTGTGTGTACAAGATATTTTCTACTGATGGAAATTTCTTGCCCGTTTTTTTATCTATTTTTGAATAAATGATAAAACGTTAGATCATAAGATTGTTATCGCTAGGATTTTATTGATTAGATCGATTTTTTAATCTATATTCGAATGTATAATCAAATTTACGTTACGCGTAGTACCTACTTGAAAATAAAAAACGAATTATGTCATTATCATTAGTAACAGAAGAATAGAAAAACTTATATTTGGTTGTAATGTTTCCTAACATTTTTCTACCGTTTCAATTTGCCACTCCCAGTGTAGAATCTTTCAAGGCTTATCGCCATGATGCGACAGTTAATAAGTACATATGATTGGATATGATCGTATTATTAAAAGTTAGAAAGATCCAATCATCTTAAAGATTTGCTATCGTTGTTTCGTTATTGGTTTATATATATATAGCTGATTCCAGTTGATTCATAAATTTATCGAAACCAATCGAAAGCTCTCTAACTATCGTCATTCGTATTTATCGAGATATTCGACATTCGGAAGTTGAACTTTTTCTCCAGTATATAGTGTATCATACTGGATGAAAGATTTTTTCTCCAAATGTCAATTTTTATACCTCCTTGTCATTTTAGTTCTAGTTGATGTTTTTAACATCGACAATTTTATGAGTACAATTAATGTGTAATCTATGGAATATAACGTAGTAATACACGTTTAAAGTGTACAGATGTTCTTATGGATTATCAAGGCATGTTTGACATCATAGAAACGAGTGTTCCGTTTTAGGTAAATAAATTTATTCGAAGGAGTTAATTAACACTCACCCAACTTCCACATATTTTTATCCTACCATAATTCTATTCAAATATGATTTTAATTTTATGAAGTATTATCTTTAGAGAAGATAACAACTGTAACCTAATTTTCTAACTCTTCACCATATAATAGACATCCGCGCCCATTAAGAATATGATAACAGAGTCATTGTTATTTTTATTGTATTTGCATTATCAATTTAAATCTTTGCTTTTAAATAATTCTATAACTATTGTCAATGTGTGTGTGTAATTTTCTTCTTCGTACTTAAATTCTCTTTTTTCAATCTGTCAAATTATATTATCTTTATCATATTTGAAAGAAAATAAGAAAATTGTATATAATTTTTTTCTGTCGTTGATGTATAGTAGAAAGAAATAAAAATGCCGACACCACCACCACCATTACCTCCTGCCCTTACCACACCTGCTCCTGTGTCAGGAGAACAAAATAGGAACTTATTGCTACAGTCAATTAGAGAAGGAAAAGCTCTAAGAAAGACAGTTACGGTAGATAAAAGCGCACCTGCTATAAGTGGTACGCTTTAATTCAAAGATGCATTTTTTATATTAATCTGCTATTCAAATAAGTCTAAATATGATATATTGATTTAACTTATAGGTAAAGTCAGAGGCGATTCGACTTTGATAACTTCTGGCAGTAGCGGTAACAATGGCCCTAATACATTCAGTAGTAGTACTGCTAATAATAACAATAGCGGACCAATAGGCCTAGGTGGATTATTTTCAAGTGGTATGCCAAAGTTAAAACCAACGGGTCTTAGAGGAAACACAATTGAAAAGGATTCAAATATTACCACTAATAACAGTAATTTTTCTAATACGACTGGTAGTTTGAATCAAAATGTTAAAAGAGGGCCTCCTCCAGTTCCGCCTCCAGCTACGCAGAAACCTCAAGTATTTCCTCAAGTAAGATAAATATATCATTTCTAATAATTAAATCTATTAAATGTATCTATATAATGTTATTATTTTTAATAAAGTAAATGCTTGTGCTTATATTAATTATATTATACAGGTATCTGGCAGTTCAGATTCAACAAATTCCAATACAGATGGACATAAAGGATTTGGCAAACCAACACTCGCACCTAAACCACCACCACCATCCACAGCTCCTCAGAAACCATCGCCACCTCCTAAAAAATTAAGTTTGACAAGTTCCGGGAGTGTCTCAAGAGCACAAAGTATGAGGTTACCCAGGTCTCCGCCTGTTCTTGCTCCAACACCGCCATCCCTTCATCAATCACAGGATTGTTTAAATGAACCGCAATCAAGACCCACGAATCGTGTTCTTAGACCACCTATCGCTAGACCTCCTTCTCCCCCAATATCCAGAGCGACATCTTCAATGGTAATAACAAGAGCAGCACCGCCACCACCTTCTAGAGTAACAGTTACGGCCCCTTGTATTCCTCCACCACCTCCGCCCCTTCCACATCGACCTCCGACTCACCAAAGATTGGCTGCACCTCCACCTCCACCACCAACACCTCCTACAAGAGGTTCGTCAATGAGAAATGGACAAGCTACAAATTCTAATCTTGATTTGGAGATAAGATTTGCAGAAATGTTTCATTCTGTATCAAGTTTTCCACCACCAGAACCTTTTAGAGGATTTACAAAGATCTACAGCAGCAGAAATGGTGAGAATAACAGTAAAAATAAATTTAGTACGCTCAAGAAATTAAATGTTAAACAACAAATATCTGATATGTTTGTTTGATGCTCATATGCAATATTTGTTTTCATATTGATTCATATATATTGGGGGTAGTTTTTATAAATTATTTTTAATTAATATATTTCTCACATTAATAATATCATTCTTTATTTGTTTATTTACGATAATAATTTTTTTTTTATTCGATAACTTTAAGCATTTATGTATCTACATGTTTATAAATTTTTGAACTAATAATACATCTAGAAAGCGTGATCCATTCACTAATCAAGTACTAATGATTTACTAAAAAATCATTTGATACAATTGATTATTGCATGCACTTCAGCTAATTTGGTTTAATAATAGTTACTGTTGTAGTTTGATTTATTGTAATTGTACAAACTATTCTAAAATTGAATTTTATGATAGTACAATTATTAATTTACTAAAAAAGAATTACAGGACTTTTATCGTCATTGATTTATCCAAAGCTTCGTGTCTTTATCCATACTGTTGTATTTTTAATCAAAATAAATTTCATACATCTACATTATAACTGATCAAAAATCTCTGCAATTAATGCGTTAATAATCATGTCATAGCATGACTAAAACACATAACTACTTAAATATAATGAATTTAATACAAATTCTGTAAATAGTTGCTATAATTTCTATATTTAATTGCATGCTGCATGTATATTATTATTTATGTATATAACATTGGTATATATAGTTTTATATGAAAAAAGTATATGTGTACCAAATTAATATATATTTATATTTATATATATAAAAGATATAATAAAAATAATTAAAAAATTACAGCTGCAAAGCAACAGGCTCCGGCACCGCCTCAACAAACATCTAATCCAAATACAATACTTCCCTTAAGTGTTTCGTCTAGTAACAGTGGCAATACAATGCAACAAACGTGGCATGTTAAAAACTTTTAGTTATCTAAGTTTTGTCATTTTGTTTATGGGAAAAAAAAAGAAAAGAAAGAAAAAGTCAGCATTTAATATTGTCTTACACATCAACAAAATAGTAATGTGTGAATACATAGAAAAATTGTGTTTGCAAAGAATCTAAGTTATTGTTATTGGAAATGTATTGAAGGTCTATTTAGAGTTGTAATTATAATTAAATTTAACAGAGAAAAAAAACTGAAGAGTTATAACATAGTCATTGAAAATATATAATTTTCTTCGAATATGCAATCATGCTCTGTTCTTTTAAATTTGTTTATAAAATGTTTTTATGTAATACTTAAAACTGTCAGACTTTCAATTTTTCTATGTTTCAATTTTAATTATTCATTATATGTCAGATATTTTGTCATGAAAATTTCAATGCACAAAAAAAGATTTCATATTATAAATATGATTAATAATAGGTATATATATTTAAGTTGAAACTAACATGAAATCATAAACTTGTTAAATAATGTTGGAAAAACAATTGCAACAATAAGTATTAATGCAACCTAATTGTTAAAAAGTTCATATATACCTACATTATGTTGTAACATTATTTAAAAAATATAAAATGTTACATATTTTTATTTCTATCAACAGTTTCTCATAATCCATTATTTCATATGTATATACATTTTCATAGCGAACAATTTATGAAATGTAAGTATAACCGGCAGTAAAATTAAACTGAGACAAGTATCTTAGTTATATTCAAAAAATATTAAGAACTAAATGAAAAATATTTTTTTATCTCTAGAAAAAACTTTTCTCTTAGAAAACTTCATTATAAAATAATATAAAAAATAACTAGAATTTTATATGATAATAAAACTCATATACAAAAAATAAATAGAAGTTCTCGATAGGAAACTTTTTAAAATGCGTTCGATAACGATTATACATTTAGTATTGAAAATAAAAAAAAATATATTAATAATTAGAATAATGTAAAATATATTTTGAGAGATTCAACACAAAGATTAAAAAGTAAAGACTGTATTGTGTTGTGTTCACACATATATATAAATAATAATATATTTAATTTATTCAATTTTGTGTCATAGAATGAAAAATATCACATAACTATTCGCGATTTGAAGAACTTTGATAAAAAAGACGAATAGAATGAATAAAAATATAAATGAATTGGAAGTACTGAATTGTGGATTAAATAAAAATAAATTAAATAGAACAAGGGGTGGATGGAGATAAGAGGGGGGGGCGATATTAAATGGCATTATATATGAATTTAATTAACGCGATTATTTTCTAAAATTTTCATAACATTGCATTATTTAATACAAGGTAGCATAAGGTAATTTGTAAGATCAAAAACATATAAACAAAATCAAATAAGTTTTATACTTCAAGCTCTTTTTCAATAATCCTACGATATTCATCAAAACCTCCTTCAATGCACCGAACTGATCCTTCGCCACAGACCCATAACTCTGTACAAACCATACGTATTAATCGTTCGTCGTGCGATACTAAAATTACCCCTGCCTAGAAAAAGAAAAAAGGAAAAAAAACATTAAAAGAATAATATAAATTGTATTCATGAATATTTTACCCATAATAAATCATTGATAATCTTTTAAAAATTTTACTTGACAATTGTTGAGCGCTTTTCCTAGTGCCTCTATTGATTCTATATCCAAATGATTGGTAGGTTCGTCAAGTACTAAAAAGTTGGGCATTGCAGCGCACATTAAAGCAAAAGCTACTCTTGATTTTTGACCTCCTGATAAAGAATTGATCGTTTGCAATGCCAAGTCACCGCTTATGCCAAAACTTCCAAGCATACGTCTATATTCTTCGATTGGTTTACCTACAAGGAAATAATATGAAAAATATGATTAATTATGCGAGAGTAAAGTAGGATTATATAATATATATAATTATCACATACCTGGAAAATGATTTTGCAACAACTCTACAGGACATACGCGCATATCTAATTGATCAACATGATGTTGACTAAAATATCCAAATTTCAAATTACGATGTACGTGTACTGTACCACGAGTTGGACTCAAAGCACCTGTTATTATTTTTAATAACGTAGTTTTACCAGCACCGTTTTCACCCACGATGCAAATTCGCGATTGTAAACTTGCTGTAAGATTGACATCAGTGAAAACGTATGAATTATCCTTTCCATTCTCATAACGAAATGAAACTTCATTTAACTGTAGTATTGGAGGACTTAATTGTTCGACGTCAGGGAATCGTAATGTTACTTCTCCTTCCTTTTCCATGGGTTTCAATTCTGGTCTATAAAATAGACAAAAAATATTCGTAAAATAGATATTAATAATAAACTTTGTGTTATCATATTTTGAAGAATCTTACAATTTCTCCAACATTTTAATTTTACTCTGTACGCTAGAGGCACGGTTGGCATTATAACGAAAGCGATCAATGAATTCCTGCACGTGGGCTCTTTTAGCTTGTTGAGCTTCATATTCTCTTTGTTGATTTCGCTCACGTTCGCCTTTAGTTTTTGAAAATTGTTCATAATTACCACGATATGCCTCTATCTTCTGACCTCGTAAATATAAGATATCCGTAGGTACCTATTATAGATAAAAAAAAACAATTAATAAAGTAAATGGTATAGAAACATGTTCTAAAAATAAATACATAATAAAAAAATGCATACGGTATCCAAAAAGTTTCTGTCATGAGAAACAACAAGTAGAGTTGTTGGCCAAGATTGCAAATATTTCTCTAGCCAAAGTATAGCTTTAATATCAAGCATGTTCGTCGGTTCATCAAGTAATAAGAGATCTGGTCTAGAAAAGAGTGCTCTTGCGAGGGCAAGTCTCATCCTCCAACCACCAGAAAACGCTTTGGTAGGCCAAGACTGTCGTTCAACAGAAAATCCAAGTCCAGATAATATTGCACTTGCTCTAGCCGGTGATTTATCAACTTCAGCTAATTGCATAGCTTCATATATTCGAGCTAATTCTTCTCCTAATACGTCACTCGCCTTACCCCCATCTTTTTCTATCGCAGCTTGTAATTCTGCTTCCCGGCTTAACAAAGTGCTTCTTTCCTGATCACATTCTAACACTGATTCGAGAGCTGACGTTTCATTACCAGCTACTTCTTGCTCTACATGTAGAACTCGTACATGAGATGGTATTCTAAGCTGTTTACTAATAAATTAAAAATCATTAATTTTAATTATTATACATTCATTTCATTATTAATACACATTAACAATATTTAATGATGAAATTTAACAGGGAACTTGGACATGAAAGAAGTAGAACTATGTTTGATTTAGTTGGACGTTTCGTCCCTTTATTGGGACTTCTTCAGCAACTAGAAATTTTATTTTATTATTATTTCTTATATTACGACATACATGAAGCTCATACA